AAAAAAGAAGAAAAAAAAAAAATCATTCAAAGAATGCGTGGAAAATGAAAAGTCAAGTATTTGTGCGAATGAGTTACAAAACGACGTTTAAATTTTTTTTTCCTTTTATATTTCATCATCGTACCCCCACCCCCCTCCCCACCATACCTATTTTTTTCTCCCGTAATTATTGTTCGTATATTTTCATCACCATCCCCTTGTTTTCACGAACGGAAACGTAAAAGAAACCTTTTTTTTTTTTTAAAGAGAAAACTAAAAACAGGTTTAATTTTTAACTAAAATAACGGTGAAAGCTGTGCGAAAGACAAACAACAAACAAACAAACGAAAACAACAACAACAAACATCTCGATGAAAAAATCAATGAGAGAGGATGATGATGATTATTTCCTAATATTAAGTTGTTTAGGAAAATTTCAAATCGGTGGTAAATCAGGTTTTCTCTCTCTCTCTCTCTCTAACGTGCCAATATTCCGAGACCATCATCATCATCATCATCATTATCATTATCGATACCGTGAGAGATACCAATCGGAAAAAACCATTACTTATGGTGAAATCATTTACACACAACAAAACCTTGATAAAATACCTAAGTATGCAAGGGAAAAAACCCCAAAAACCTTTAAATTGGAGAGAGAGATAGATAGATAGATAGAGAGAGAGAGAGAGAGAGAGAGAGAGAGAGAGAGACAGAGACAGAGAAAGAGAGAGAGAGAGAAAGCATAAAAAGGTTTCAAGTGAACGGCTTGTAAACACAAAATCTCGACAATTTCGACCTTATTAAAAATTTTCTTTTTAACATTTTCTTTCACCCTTTTCCTCCTCCTTCCTCCTCCTTCCCCCCACGAAAAAAAAGCAACCTCGAGAATTTTTTAAAAATTTAAAATAAAAAAAATGAACGTAATCGATCGATTTATGGGAAAATAATGAGGTCAAGGAAAATTTTTCGAGATATGAAAAAATTTAGATCGATTTATAAAAAAAAAAAAAAAATTACCCAAAAGGTAAAATGATGAGTTTTTTTGTTTTTTTTTTTTTTTTTTTTATACTAATCACGATTTATCCTATCCTATCAATTGGAAAAATAATTTTCATCTTGACCTAAAGTAAAAACAAATACAAAACAAACCCTAATCTTCCAAATACTAATAATAATAATAATAATTAAATAAATTTTCTTCCCTCTTATACCTCCTTCAACATTAATAATTACTATTAAAAATCTTAAGAAAATAAAAAAAAAAATTTCTTCTCACCTGATATGATGAAAACATCTTTTAATAACAAATAAATTTTTCTTATTATATCTTCATGTAAATATGTCCACTTTTTGTCATTTATATTAATAAATTTAAAATACTCAACAACAACAACAACAACAACAACCAAAAAGAAAAAAAAACGTGTAAAAAAATTCGCACAAACGCATCTGATAACTCAAATGATTACTCGTATACCATCGAGTCGCATGTTATGACGTCACTAAAATGCAGCATCTAATCGATAACACCTGGTTTAAGTTACAACAAAAAAAATTTTTTTTTTTTTTTACAAAGAGAAATTTAACGAAATTTTTTTTTTTAAACTCGTTTTTAATTATGATTTTAATTAAATTATTATCGATTCGTTTTTCTTAAATATGTTATGTATTCAAGAGAATTCATAACTTTCAAATTCATTTATTTATTTATTTTTTTAAAATAAATATTTCATTAAATTTTTCTTTTTTTTCTTCATAAAATCAATAAAATGAATTTTTCAATAAATTCCGTAATAAATATTTTTAAAAAATGTCTTCCTCTCATTCCAATATAATAATTAAAACAAAGGGATTGGTTTTAAATAATAATAATAATAATAATAATAATACCAAAACACCAAATAATATTATGTATAAATTGATAAAAGAATGTAGACGAAAAGCGATAAGACGACTGCAAAGTGCTCCAAAACCTTACACACACATTTTGTTTAAATATGTAATAAAATAATTAAATGAAAGTTTAATGAAAGTTTGTGAGAGAATGTGAATGAAAATGATGTAATAATAGTTAAAAAATTATTACCTGATAAAGCAAATTATCCCTATTTTCATCCATACCGGTTATTTCAAATGTTGGATGCTGTGAAAACATTGTTTTTCCAGGATATGAAGTACTTCGTCGAAATTTAATTGGCGATATTTGAACCATTTGATGTTGTTGATTAAACGTAGGACTTGGTTTTCTATTACTTAAATTTCCATAATTATTTTGCAATGCTGGATTTAAATTAGGAACTGATCTTCCTCTATTCCAAGGAGTGAGACCTGATACATTTGCTTGATTTTGTGGAGATGGTACCCAACCTGGGTTTTGCTGCGGACTCGGCCAAGGAGCTCCATAGCCTTTATTGGTGAGAAATAAATTTGGAGGAGAATGATTTTGAATTGGGCGACCTACATTTGTTGAAAAATTATGCTGTCCCGTGATTGGCCTCCTTTGTTGGCTAGATTGTCCTTGATTTTGTGATAATCCAGTCATTTGGTTTCCTAATTGGTTATATAAATTGCTAGACTGATAATTTTGAAAAGCAAGGGTGCCATTTACTGTCACACCGTGAGCAGCTAAATTTTGAAGCATTCCATCCTCCATTGTGCCCGAGGGCCACACACCAGACTGAGACACATTTGTGGGACTTACTATGTTTATATTACTTTCAGTTGCATTATATCCTTGTAAAATTTGTAAAGTTTGCGCTGAGTTATTTGGATCATTGTGTTTTCCATTTAAACTTATACTACTACTACTATTAGGTTTACCAGATCCGTGATCTTCTTCTTTATTTTTTGTGGAATTATCCTCGTTTATTTCTGGACTTGGTGATACGGTCTGCTGGGTCTTAGCAGCAGGTTTTTCTATTAGGAGATCATCTTGCATTGCAGAGTGCTGTGAAGAAACAGTGTCAGTCACAGTAGGTGTGGTACAAAATATTGAATTTTTGGTATTTGGTTGAAATTCTACAGCAGAAATAGGTCCCACACTATTGCTAACACTAAATTTAAAATCATCCATCAGGTTTTCGTCGACGTGTAAAAATTTTAGGCTAGTTTTTTTTAATTCGTTTAAAAAAATTATCGTCACTACACGTCTTTCATTGGTTTTCTGCTACTTCAATAATTTCTGGGTTCGATTTGTCCAACATAAAGCAGCTAAATTTCCCTTTAATTTGATACTTAAATATTTTCAAATTAATTTTATTATTTTATCTACTCTACACACGTTAAATAATAATTAAAATGATGATTTTTAAAATAAAAATAATAATTCAATGAAACTTGAACAATAATTTTCACAATAAAGAAAAAATAAAAAAAATTTTAACAAAACCGATTTTCAAATGTGAGAGGGAAATTTTTTAACGAAAACCGATAAGTTTTCGAACAGTTTTTCTAATGACAAAAAGGTCATACCGGTCAAACGTATACTGCTTAATATTTAAGTTTTAAATAATATTACGAGTTATCTAATTTAAATATTTTTTAATTTTTAAAATGGGTAAATATGATATTTATATGGTTCGTCACGGTGAAAGTGAATGGAATGATAAAAATTTATTTTGCGGATGGTATGACGCAGTTTTAAGCGAGAAAGGTACATTTTTTTTTTTTTTTTATAAACTTTTACTTAAAACCAAAACTACTTGGAAAAAAAGTAAAATAAAATTTCGCATCAAGTTTTTTTTTTAACGTATTAATAAAAAATTTTTTTAAAAATAAATAATTACTTGTTTTTAAAATCTAACTTTATGAATAACATAGTAAAATATTGCACGACCTTTTATAAATTTTTATAGTTATAAAGTTTCTAAAACCTTTCTTTTAAAATTTCTCAGGGTATGAAGAAGCAGTAAACGCTGGAAAATATCTTAAAGAAGCAAATGTAAAATTTGATTGTGCTCATACTTCAGTTTTGACCAGAGCCAAGAAAACATTAGAAGCTATATTAGTTGTAACTGAACAGCTTGATATTCCAGTTTATGAAACATGGAGGTTAAATGAAAGACATTATGGAGCATTAACTGGTTTAAATAAATCGGAAACTGCTATAAAATACGGAGAGACTCAGGTTTCTATTGAACTTATTATTATTCACTACCTTGACTGAACATTATACAAAACATATTGTTAATTAAAATACAGGTACAAATATGGAGAAGGAGTTTTGATGTACCTCCTCCAGCGATGGGTGAAGATCATCTTTATTACAATGAAATAGTAAATGATCCGAGATATGCAAAAGGTCCCAGTAGAGAAGAATTTCCATTAGGAGAATCATTAAAGAAAACAATGGAGAGAACAATGCCTTATTGGAACAAAACAATATTGCCTCAAATAAAAGAGGGTAAAAGAATTTTGATTGTCGCTCATGGAAATAGCTTAAGAGGAATAATAAAAGGTTTAATGAGTAAGTGCAAAAAAAAAAAAATGGATGAATTTTTATGTAATCACATTCGTTCCACATTAATAATTATTAACATGATATGTTACAGAATTATCGGATGAAGAAATAATGTTGTTAAATTTGCCTACTGGAGTTCCTTTCATGTATACATTAAATGAAAATTTAGAACCCATTGCACCAATGAAATTTTTAGGCGATGAAGAAACTGTGAAAAAAGCAATCGAAGCTGTCGTTAATCAGGGAAAAGCCAAATAGTTTATTTTTTCCTCACAATTAAAAATATTTATCAAAACAAATATATATATATATATATATCTTAGCTATGTGTAACAAATATCGAATCAATATATATGATAATCATTTTTAAATAATTATAAATTTTCAGGTCAATCAAACACATTGACACTTACATAACCTTCTAATTAAATTTATCCTTTTTTTTTTTTATTCGCATTGATAAAATAATAATAATAATAATAATTTGATTATTTAATTAAATAAGAAAAAAATATCCCGAATATTATTAATTTATATCAACTTTATTTATATTTATATATAAATATATAAAATATATTGAATCGAATATTATTATTATTATTAATACACACAAATAAGTATAAAACCCGACCTAAACTACTTATTAACAATTTATTATAAAATCATTTTAATAATATTAATAAAAAAAATTTTTGTGACTTTAATTATTAATAATAATAATAATAATTATTAAACAATTTATTTATTTATTTGTTACATAAAATAAAAATAATAATAATAATAATAATAATAATATTAACGAATAATATAAATAAAAATATTATTATTATGAGTTTTAAATAATAATTTTTTTTTTTTTATTAAATGAATTCAAACGAAACGAACAAAATTAATTAATTAATCATATTTAAAAAAAAAATTTATTATTATTATTATTGATAATATTTATTAAACTTAATATATTAATAATAAATTATTATTAACTATGTCCCGTAATAATAATAATAATAATAATAATAAATGGAATGAATGAATTACAACACATTACGATGACTAGTGTGAATATTTTGATAGTGAGAAGAAAAAAATTATTATTATTATTATAGTAATTTAATTATTATAGTAATTAATTATCAAAAATAGTTTTTATTTATTTACTTTTTAAGTATTGTACGTTAATTTATTATTTATTTTAATAATATTAATTTAAAAATATATATATATATTTGTTTTGTTCCTCGACAACATTATTCAAATCACATAAAAATCTCAAATACTCCATCATTAATGTTAAACCTTAATTAATAATAATAATAATAATAATAATTTCTTTTAGTTTTTTCAACTGTGCGACATAAAAAATTTTATATAACAAACAAAATATCCTTTCCATTAATCTAAAAATATCGACGTGATGAATGAATGAAGAAAGAACAAAAAAAAACTCAACAAAAAAATTTCCTTTTTAAGTAATTAATTCAAAATTAATGAAATGTTAACCGCCGCCATTTTATTTAACAACGATAAGAAATCATTATTATTAACCAAACTAACGCTACGAATGGTAAAAAAAATTCTTACCCCCCCTTCCCTTTCCTTTCCTCCCCAAAATATAGAAAATTATCAATCAATCAATCAATCAATCAATCAATCATTATTGAGCTTGATATAAGTTTAGAGAGAGAAAGAGAAAAAAGAATAATAATAATAATAATAGTAATAGTAATAATAATAGTAATAAAATCAGTCATCAATCTCCTCAAATTCGACCTTCAGTCAGTCTTCTTTCTTCATAAAACCTTTTTTTTTTTTTTTCAAAAAGAGAAAAAAAAAAAACAAACAAACAAACAAACGAACAAACAAACAAACGGCATCCAGTCATCATTCTAAATTTATTTTTGGAATAATCAAACCTCTTCTGCTCAACCACAATCTGTAAAAAAAAAAATTTTTTTGTTAAAATAAAATATCAATACTTGGTCATTTTTTTTAAAATTTTAAACAAACAAACAAACGAACAAACAAACAACTCACCCGACTCCGGTACCGAGAAGAAGAGATATAAAATTCGTTATGAATAAAGTGTAAAGAACTTCTTTTGAAAACAAACTATTACGTCCGACTTTTGCATTACGAATACTGTATGTTTTCCTTTTCGGATGTTTAAATTTCCAATCCCTGCGTGTATACAAAAAACAAACGGAAATGTATAAGTAACCGGAAATGGATCGCAACCGGAAATAATTTCACCTTATTTATTTTTGTTTTAAATCGTTATAAGGGCGAATAAATATTCTATTGTTTTTTTTTTTTTTTTTTTTTTTATAACAATAAACAAATAATAAACAATTATTAGTCATCATTGATTAGCGGAAACTTAAAAACGGAAAAATTCATATTGATTCTCTTTTACAAATATAATAATAATAATAATAATAATAATAATAATAATAATAATAATTTAAACGCGAAGCCGCCAAGAAATCAACTTGGCTTACATTCAATACAAAAAAAACAAAAAATTCGCATTTTTTTTTCTACAAGGAAACAAATAGTCATCGTGAAAGAATATCAAGCGGAAGTAGCGCTGTTGAAATGAGTTTAATGTAAAAATTTACAAAATGCTTTGACAAGAAACAAGGATGTTAGTCTGTGAGGCAAACAAACACTTGAAGGAAAACTTCTATTAGAAAGCATCAAATTAAACATTCCCAACTCACAAGAAGTATCCAATTAAAACCTGAAGCAAAAGGTATGCCATCAACACAAAAAGCAAAAGGTATACCAACAACATGATAAGCAAAAGGTACCCCATCAACATGATAAGCAAAAGGTATGCCATCAACTAGAGAAGCAAAAGGTATCCCATCAACATGATAAGCAAAAGGTATGCCAACAACGTGAGAAGCAAAAGGTACCCCATCAACATGATAAGCAAAAGGTATGCCAACAACCTTGATAAGTAACAGTCAGACTGTTATAACAATAAAGAATCCGCACAACAATCCACAACCAACAGACACACACACACACACACACACACACACACCTTTCTGAAACTCTGTCAAAGTTTTAGAATTTTCTAGAAAAGATCATAGAATTTTAATTCATTCACCCAAAGTACCTTACGTAAGAATAATGCATTAATAATAATAATAATAATAAAATAAAATTAAGTGGGACGGCCCACCTACATTCTTAGAAACATTTTTATAAATAGCAGCACCACCACCACCACCACCAACACCGCAACCACCGCCATCTTGATTCGTTTATTCGTTTTTGAGAAAATCAAA